GGGGGATGGAGGGGATGGCCTGGAAAGGGCCCTGCCAGCCCAAAGCATCCTGTGGTTCTGTGATGTCGCGGTGCAGAGGTGATGGCGCTCTGCAGGGGTCTGCCGGGATGGCGGTGACCGGCTGGCCCGGGGCTCTGGCATCCCAGCACTGGGCGTCCCAACGCAGGTGTCGGCACTGGCGTAAGATCGAGCGGAGGCTGGGCTGCTCTGCTGTCTGACGGAATGCACATCGCTGGGGCCATGCTTCCTCTTTCTGGGTTTTAGGTTCAAAACCTAAGTGCTGCCGGCACCGGTGTTGTAGACGGTGTCAGTATTGACCAGACATCAGCTCAGGATTCTCAGCCTGTTCTGGGGGCCCAAAGAAAGCAGCTAAATCATCTGGGCTGCTTCTCAGCTGTTCAGTGACTGCTGGTCTTTTCTCTCCAGCCTAGTTGTACACTTCCAAAGGGAAGGTTTCCATCTTACTCTCCACTGTTAACTTGGAAACACTGTTCAGGAGGAATTTTATCCATTAGTAAGCTTTGCCTGATATTTGGCTTTAGTTTCTTTTTAATTATTTATGCTGTTGTATAACAAAGTCTGGGCATCCACCTATGTCTTTAAAAAGATGTGATGTTAGAAAAAGAGAAAAGAAATGTTGTTATTATAGTGGAGGGTGCTTTTTTAGAAACACCTTTTGGATGGCGAGCAGCAGATAGGGCACTCGGTCTAAGAGCAGGAGGAGGAACTACCCCAAGGCCAAGTAAGGGGTGCAAATCTTTTTGGAGGGGGAAGGCCACATATAACTCGAACGTCCATGCAGAGCAGAAGGGACTTTGGCATCTCTTACAGGCTTGACAAACTACGAAGTGAGCTGGAGGGAATGCTCAGCAAATGCATTTGGGGGTGCCTTTGAGATTCTGCTAATGATTTGTTCTTTACGTACCATCTTCAAAGCACCCCACTGCTGTAGCCATGCCTAGATGCTTCTGTGACTTACGCAGAACTGCACTCGAAGCATGTCAGGGGTGCTGTGCTTCTGGAGCAAGGTAAGAATTATTTTGTAGTAATCTGGGAGGATGCTGTCGCAGAGGACGCTTTTGCAAAGAGCAAGCGAAAGAAGCAGAGGATAAGTAACAGCCAGCTGCACAGGCTGCGTCTAATGATGCCGCTGGCACTGCACGTACCCCTTTTCTGTGCTCCTGTAACCACATCTGTTCCATCCTTCCACAGCACAGTCAGCATCTGGAACCTGTCCTCAAAAGCAAAGATACTCCCTCAAACTTGTGAGTTTTGATCTGTTTGGGTAAGGAATAGTGCATCGCGTGCTGTGTGCAGGGCCCGGCCCCTTTGGCCTGTGTGGCTAAGAGCGTCCGAGGAGCTCAGAGGAGGTGGTCGCAGGGGCCCCTCCCAGCTTAGGAGATGGATATAACTTCCTGAGAGTGTCGTGCTTGGATTTCAGTAAAAGTTGGCTCTTCCACTAAAGGTGTGAAAAAAAAAAAAAAGGTATAAGGATTAAAAAAAGGAAAAGCCTTCATCCCAAACAGTTGCCTCTCCGATCCACCAAGCTCTGCAATCTCCAAAACTGAATTTGGTGGCGTCAGGTAGCGATCTGGATTCATTCATGCCAGACCTGCTTTTTTCCTGTATGGCAAGCGTGCGCATGCCCTGCTGGAGCGTGGGGAAACCGGAGAGGTTAGAACGCGGTGGCCGTGCTGAGGTGGTGTGATGAACCAGCACCGAGAGGCTCTGTAAGGCCAGCGCACACCTTTAAATCAAACAGTAATTATAGCTGGGGTTCCGAGCAAGCTCTCTAGGCACTTGCTGATAACTTGGGTTCTCCAGAAACATGCTATTTCCAGTAACAGCTCTTCTGCAACGGAGATTCAGTTGGTTGGTTTTCAGTAGCTCACAAACCAGAGCAGGAAGACCGTTTTCTGGTCTGCTGTGGCTCTTGGGAGCTGCTTGTCTGTGGGAAGACCAGTGCTGACTGCTGGCTCTGTGGGAGACCTGGCAGTGCCCACGCTGGAAAAATCCCTCTCCCTTTTGTCGGAGAAGAGCCATTTAAGAGGACGGAGAAAGAACACAGTGTTAATGAGAAACGACAGCAAAGCGCCACAAAACTAGAACCAGTAGGTGGGAAACGCAACGGTCCCAGCTGCTCTGTTTTGCACCTTTGGCACCTTCTGGCGCTTTGCTCGGTAGGCTGACGGTGCAGCCCGGCCCTCGCGGTTGCAGAGGGCTGTCGAGTGTGATACGGCACACGAGAGCATTTTGGCTCCCGGATTTGATGGCTCAGATTGGCACACCCAACAAGGTGCAGAATAAAATATCCTCTGGAACACGGTCGGTTGTGTTGTCTGGAGCCTGCTGATCCTCCAGCTGCCTTGGCTAGTTGTGGGTAGGGCCTTTGGTATCAAACCAGCCATATATATATGCTGCCTCCTCCCACGCATATATAAAACTGCTGCCTCCTCCCACGCATAACAGCATCTGTCCTGAGTTAGCTTGCAGTATGCTGAATATATATATATATATATGTGTACGCACGTAGGTGTGCATAGGCAACACGTACATATTGACTGTACACTCGGTGCGTTTCAGGTCACTCAATAACAGCGGTAGTAAAAGGGCAGTAATGCTTGCTGATTTAAAAAGATGGACTGTTAAGGTGTCAGCGCGCTACCCAGACGCTTGAATGTCATAAATACAGACTTTCTTGTCTCCCTTTCTGACAGCTAGAATAAAACATTACAGTTCTTTGTTGGGACTTGCCTGTTTGCAGAAATAACCTCATCTGCCCTGTGGCTAAGGTCACCTCTGGCTCTGTTTAGAAGAATAGCTTTGGGAGCAGAGCTGGCGCGGGGTTGCCGGCGGCCTGCGGTGTCCAGGTGCTTTCAACCCCACAGGCAGTTCTAAGTGGTAGCGCTGGAAACGTCCAACGTGAGACAGCTGCTCCCTTGTTCCGGGCTGATGCTGAGAGTTTATGCGGTTGGTAGGCACAGCATTAAATAGTGAACCAGAAGACCTGAGCTCTGTTCTCAGCTCTGTTGCTGATCTGGCATTTGATTTTTTTTTTTTTTTGGGGGTCTGGGGTGGGCGTTGTTGCTTTCTTTAAAATGAGTAGTGAAGGTCTTGTAGCAGTCTTGCCCAAGTTTCCCTTTGTAGCAGGGCTTGTGTGGCTGAAGTAATGCTCTTCCTTCCTCTTCCCTTTAGGATGTCAAAGATGGCAAGATCTACAATGAACAGAACTTCTTCCAGCGAGCCGCGAAGGCAGGCACAGGTTGGTGCTTCTTGGAAGGGCAAGGACTAGGCTGCTTGTTCAGAAAACGCGTCCCTCTCTCATCGGTTATGTGAGTCTCTCGGAAGGCCAGGCTAGAGTTGACGGATTCACTGCTTGCTTGGTGCCAGAGTGCTGAGAAGCTTGGCCAAGAGCCTGCTCTCCCAGAAGTCTCTGTGTACCTCAGGACACTGCAGTATTGGCGTTTTGAAGCTTTCTTGCTCTGCCCACGCTTTGTCTTGATCTGGCTGGTGGCTGTTCGGCCCTGCGGCCTGACCTGCCTTGGCTCCCTCTCTTCCCCTTCCACGGGTGTTCCTGTCAGCTGCTGTCTGGTATTGACTCCGTTGACCCAAAAACCTGAGCACGAGCAAAGCTGGCCAGAAAACGTGGGCAGGTGGTTGAGCAGGGGTGATGGAGGAATTCCTGTCAAACTTGCGCTTCTGGGAGGGCCGTAAAGATCTGCTTCTCCATCCCTCTCCCTCTGCCCCCTTCTTCTTCTCCCTAGCCCTAGAGCCACCACATGCCTTAGCCTGCTCTGGTATTCCCAGCGCCCTTTCTGTCTTGTTCTTGCCCTGCAGTGCCATGTGCATTGAGATGCCAATACCGCAGCGCAGCGGGCTGGCATTTCTGGGCCAGAATCAGTAGGAGAGAGGCTTCCCGCTGTCAGCTGCCCAGGGCAGAGCAGGCCTTCGGAGAAGGGGCGTCCCTGGCTGAGCTCCTTCCTTCTGGAGCTCCTCAGCAGCGTCTGCCACACTCTGTCCTCTCCCCTTCTAGTGGAGAAGTGGAAGAAGCGGCACTCTGTGCCGTTGCTGGGAATCCCCAATTGCGTTGGCTTTGGACTGCATGCAGATAGCTACAGGTGAGGTGACTCTGCGGAGGGCACAGCCGCGCTCTTCCGGCCCACAACTGCCATCTTCCTGGGCTCTCCCTCTTCTCTCCTTGCTGCCTGCTAGTCCTTTGCTCGTTGTCCCCTCGGCTCCTAACCTTATGCTAGCCTAGCACATGGTTTGCCGCTCTCATTATCCCGTTTCCTTCAGGCCTCGTGTTGCTGGTGAAGTCTTTGCTTTTGCAGCTTCTGTCCCTCAGGCCAGGGGACACCTTATTCCTGCCTTTAGTGTTAACATCAAGGGGACACTCAGACTGTACATCTGCGCACTTGGGCTTGGCAGTGCTGGGTTAATGGTTGGACTCGATGATCTAAAAGGTCTTTTCCAACCTAAATGATTCTATGAACACATGATCAGCCTGTCTCTCCTTTCCTGTTACCAAAAGTTGAGGAAATGTTTGCGCAGGTCAGCTTGGAGTTGAAGGGTGGGGGGTCTAATCCAGGGGGGTCGCTTGACAAGTGTCTGTTGCAGCGTTTCCAAATCCGGTAGGTACTGCTATGTGCTAAGCCTTTGTCTCTTGTAGGTTTTTGGTGTTCTCTGACTTAGGGCGAACTCTTCAGTCTGTCCTGAACGATGGCTTATACCTACTGAGGGAGAAGGCAGCTTTTCAGATTGTAGTCCGGCTGGTATGTAGAGAACCCGTACTTCCCAAGAGACTTTTTCAGAAAAGACCTAAAACTTTCTCCCAGATCTTTCAGCGGTGTGTTAAAGCTGATGTAGGGGGTTGGCTGGGGTCTCTAGTAGCATCTCTCAAGCCTGTTGTAAACTTGAGTAGCATCTTTGGAGCAATATGTCACCTTGAAGGAATTTGGGGTAAGGAGAAGGAGAGAAACCTGACACGTGACGATCAGAGGCTGTGGGACACGGTGCTTTTTGTGCTCTTCCACACAGCTGCGGGGAGCTGGGGAGGGTCCAGCTCAGCGATAGCCAGGGTGCCGAAGGAGCCTGCCTGGTTCTGATATGCTCGCCTCTTCTGCTTACTCCTAGCTAGACTGCCTGGAGTACATTCATGAGAACGAGTACGTGCATGGGGACATCACGGCTGAGAACATCTATCTGAACCCAGCAGACCTCACTCAGGTAGGGAGCAGGAGCAGCACTGCGAGGAACGGCAGCAAAGGGGGGGCTTGTGAAACGGGAAAGAGCAACGCCCGGGTTCCTGCTGCGGGGCAGGGGAGCGGTGCGGTCGGTGCGGTGCTCAGGCAGTGCTGTGGTGCAGGATTGCAGGCTACGCTGTAGGCAGAATTCACACCGCACGTGCGCTCAGATGCGTACTTCGTGATGTCTTGCAGGTGACCCTAGCAGGCTATTGCTTTGCCTTCCGTTACTGCCCGGGAGGGAAGCACGTGGCTCAGCGCGAAGGCAGCAGGACCCCTCACGAGGGCACGATAGAGTTTATCAGTCTGGACAGCCACAAGGGAGCGGGTGAGTCTCTGACACGAGGCAGCAGAGCTCAGCTAGAGCTGTTACTGTGGCAGTGCTCGCTGGAGCTGGGGCTCCCTGCTGGCGTTTCTGTTACTGCTGCTTTCCAGGCAGCCACGTGCATCTGGAACCAAGTTCCCGTTCGGGCTGTTTCCTCTTGCCTCTCCCTGGGCTGCTGTGTTGGGACTTGCCAGGTCGCTCAGCGACTGCAGCAGGAGGCGCAGGGATGTTCCTGCTCCATCTGGGGCCTTGGCTGCTGCAGGCGTGCGAGGAATAGGAAACGGGGCCGCCGCGCGCTGGCTTAGCGGGGATCTGTTTCAAGCCAGACTGGATCCCTGCCCAAAACAGATTTGCAGCAGGCTCTGCTCTGACCTTGAAGCAATGAGGGCTGGAAAGGCGTTTAAATTAGCCAGTTCCTCTCCTGGTTGGGATGTGACTCTTTTCTCCCGTTGTTCAGACTGGGCAAATCTTCCTCCAGAGGCTGGGAGGCGATTCCTCAGCTGTGTGAGTGAGCAGGCTCCCAGAAGCATTGCTATCCTAGAGCACATCTTGATGAAGCTCTTGCATTTCTTTACTTCTGCTCTTTAGACTTGTGCCCGTTGACGAGGCTGCCTGTTTTACAGAAGGGGCACCTCAGGCAGAGACTTCTAGGTTGTGCAGCGAGTGCTGGGGTCCTGACTTGCCTTTGGAGCAGAGGCGCTGGCCTGGGCCTCTTCTGAGATGGCTCCCAAACTCTTTGTTTTTTCACATGTGAATATCTCTTCCTTCCCATCAGGACCATCTCGCCGGAGTGACTTGGAATCTCTGGGCTACTGTCTTCTGAAATGGCTCTGTGGCTTCTTGCCCTGGTCTGATGAGCTGGACAAAGTAGAAACTGTGGTGGAAAAGAAGGAAAAGTAGGAGAAATCATCTGCTCTTTGGGGAAATGCTCAGCAGAAAGCAGTGAGGGAGGTTTTGTGACTGAAATCCCTTGGTCACAGTACACTGTGGGGATGTGGGCAACTCGCACTGTAAAGGCTGAGCCTGGCCAAGGGTGTTCGGTGAACCCTGATTTCTGCTCCATTCAGAACGTGGCCATCTGAATTCAGCCTCTTTTTTTGTCCCTGTTGCCAAAGACAGGCTGTTCCGGTGCCTGCTCCGTGGCCTCTCACCCGACAGCCCTCTGCTCTGGTTATTCCAGGTACAAAGGGGACGTGACGTGCCTTCTCCGACTGTGCTTCAGGCAGAAATGCATTCCAGGTATGGGCTTGCTGTCTGTGCCGTGGGGTTGGGGAAGGAGGGCGGGCTGTACCTGCAGCTGGAACCTTCTCTGCTGGGGTGCTAGTCCAGGATGGCTTCCCCTGGCGACGGTGACCGAGCATTGAGGGGGCTGGCTGACAGGCTCCGCCTGTGAACACATCCCTTGTTTTCTTTACAGCAAACCAGGGAGGGCTGCTACCCGTTTTCTGTATTCATGAGCCTTGCCAAAGACGCAAGTGTTCTGGTGGCTTTAAAAATGCAGTATTTGGGGCTAGAGGTCAATTCCCCATCCCGTCTTTGAGCTTCATGGTAGCCTTTGGCTTTGTGTTCCTCCCTGCAGCTGGCCAGGGCAGGTGGGTGAAGGGGCTGCGGGGAGAGCAGGCCGAGGCGGCCACTCGGCAGCTTTGTAAGGACAGCGGGCGCTGCTCTGCTGCTCCACGCCACGATCCTTGCTTTGCAGATGCCCTGCAGAGCTACCTGCAGCAAGTAATGGCACTTGAGTACGAGGAGAAGCCCGACTACGAGGCCCTGCGGCAGCTCTTCAAGAAGCCACTGGAAAAGATGAAAGCTTCAGCTTACGACTCTGTGGACATCAAAATGGTGCCCTAAGTAAGTGCCAGTAGTTCAGACTGCAGCGGTACTGCTGGGAGCACAGGAGCCGCACGGCGCTGGCGACCGGCTCGCGGGGCGCTGCAGGTGGCAGCCAGGAGGCGAGGGCAGAGCAGGGGTCTGTGGCGTCTCCTGCTGAGACCTAGGGGCTCCTCCTGACGCGCGGCGGGCGTACCGGCCCGTCGGCGTGCCCTATTGAGAGATCAGCCCAGTGCTACTCAAAGCCAGGCCTAGCCTGTCTCACAGCGTGGTTCCTCAGCTCTTTCTGGGAATACTTGTCCTTGGAGGAAGCCAACAAGGGTTAACAAAGCAAAGGCTGAACAGTCTGCGGGGGGGTGGGGGTGCTAGCAAAATGCAGACTGATGCAATCTGGGCCTTTTTTTTTTTTTAAGAACTGAGGCTCTGGGCTGCATCTTTTGCTTTTCCTTTAACAGAACGTAGCTTGCAGTTCTGGTTCCGTTGCCTGGGCCTGTGGCAGTGAGCAGGGCTCTCTAGGCCCAGGTGCTGTTTTATCCATGAGGCACCGCCAAGATTGAGGCTCGGTAGAGAGGCAGATCTGCTTTTAGTCCGGGGCTGCATCAGCCAAGGCCACTGGATTAAGCAGCAAGCCCCAGGAAGGTGGAGCCAGCTCCTCATCACCTAACTTGCCCTTCCTAGGAAGGAACTGAACTGATGCGTGTTCCTATTTTGTGCCTTTTCTTCCAGCTCAAGAAAACTTGCACAGGAAGAGTTCAAAGCTTTCTGCAGCGTGCAGCCTTCCCTGTAGATATTTAACTTTTACCTGCCTGTTTTAGAACTGAGAGATGTTTTTATAAAGTGTTTTCTTCCAATTTTAACGTGACCTAATGCTGATTGTTGAGCTGCTGCTGCAGCAAGTTTATGTGAAGACACTCCTGCACAGCAAGTGACTGTAAGCAGGAGGTGGAGAGCTGCAATGTAGCCACCGGGAGGAGGGCGAAGCTTGGCACAGAAAAACTAAATCGGGGACTTCTCTTTTTTTTGTAGCTACAGTGGTGGTATGCAGTTTTGTAATAAACTTTGTGGACAGGCACCCAGGGCTGCTGTTAGCTGGTTATTTGGCATGTTCGAGGCCTGGCGGTAGGCTCTTTCTGAGGCTGCTGCAGAGTTGCGATGGTGGTTGGAGCCCCACGTTCTGCCGGCTGCTCCTGGGCTCCGTGGGGGCTACTCACCTCGGCACTTCACCACAGAGCTAAACTCTGACTTCACCCCCAACCATCCCGTCAGCTCCCCAAGCCCCAGGGCACTGAAGTAAGACAGGGAGCCATCTATATTAAAAAAAGTTTTATAAAAAAAGTCACTACACTGTGTGTGTCTGAACTGTTGCCATCTGCCACAGTACCTTCTAAACAAAGGAAGAGTCACGGAGTCCAGTTCCAGTGTTACATTCAGTGATATCTCCTGGAAGTCTTGTACCTTGGTATGTCAATGTTCGCTACCTCTTTGCAGAGGGAAGGCTGGTTCCCTAACGCTCACAGGCTGAAGGAGCTTTAACCCAGGCTTGCTCAGCTGAGGTCAGTGGAGGTGGTTTCTTCAAACTGAGACTGAAGTAGCACAGATTTCATTTTTGAGAAGAAAAGCCTATGCTGCCCTTGCAAAGCAGGAGCCGGTAGCAAGGCTTAAATCAGGGCGTCTAGTGTTCAAGTGATGTGTGCTTTACTCAAGGACACGGTTGTGGAAACAGCAAGGAAGACTGGGCGAGACAAGATGTGAAGTCGAGCCGCTGGCTGGGGTGGCAGCTGCAGCAGAGGCTGACAGTGCACGGAGACCACGTCACTGTAGTACTGGGCAGGGAAGCGTTAAGGCACGCAAGGAGGATTTTTCAGGCGAGGAAAACACGGCAGCTAGGGCCTGAGGCACATGGGGTTTAAAACCATCTGAGAGGTAGGTAAAAAAGAAGCTCAGACCTGCAGTGAGCCTTCATTTACCTCTTGATTGTATCCATAAAACCTTGTATCAGTGCAGCAAATGGTATGTACATAGAAGAGGGAAGCACCAGCTGAGTGAGACAGTACCTGGCCAGAAGGAAAAGGCAGCACAACCTCAAAAAGGTCTTTCAAGTGGAAGAATTCAAGCATAGTGTTACATCCAGTAACTTGAGAACCAAAGTCAGTTCCTTTCGTTTATAGCACCAGGCCTCACAGCAAAGCAAGGGGCCCAACGCGCTCTTTCCTATCACCAACGAGCAACTGGTGAGGTATGACAAAAATGAGCTATAAAGTTTCATATGTGGAAAAGAACCTTAATTTGCAGAGGATCAGACAATAAGGGAATATTTAAAAAGGCAGCTATCAAGGAAAGAAGTGGCCCAGAAGTGAGCTACAGAATTACAAGATAGGCATAGGCAAAGGTGAGGGAAAGGGCTCTTTTTGGAGGTATTGACAATTATTCGCTATCATCCCTGTATGACTACAACAGCAATGCTGTTTCCAGGAACCCTAGAAAAGTACAGAGCATGAAGAAATCAGAGGCTTAAGAAGCCCAAGTTCACCCTTTCTTCGCTATGTTCTGCCACGTTTTTCCGCTTGACCTGCCTTCTGTCACACTTGCCCTCCCTAGGCCTAGCACAGACCGACTGCAAACGTGATTCCAGGTCGCGAGGCAGGCGCGGCTCCTTGCTGATGGCACTGCCAAGAGGCAGCGCTGAGGTAGGTTTGAGAGGTGCTCCAAGGCTGCCTTCCGCAGAAGACGTAGGACTGGCACTGTTGACGGAAGAGTAGCCCGAGCTCCCTTCCCGGTTGGGATTTCTCGGGGTGAGATAGGCTGAAAGGCTGCGAGCGTCATCCAGCAGCTGGGCCTCCCTCGGTGCTGCCGCCTGCCCAGCCCACTCCACAGCCAGGTTGTCCTCGTCACTGGAGTCCTGACAGCAGTGCTCCGCAGGATCCATATAGACCACCGTCACGTCCAGGATCCCACTGGGACTGGTCACTGGGGAATGGTAAAAGAATAAGGTTTGGTTTGATTGGGGCAGCACCAAGCAGGCATTCAGCGGAGAATTGGGCAGAAAAAACCCCCCAAGGAAGAGCATAATTTGGGCCAGTGGCATCCTGGCTTGTATCGGGAATGGTGTGGCCAGCAGGAGCAGGGAGGTGATGGTGCCCCTGTGCTGGGCACTGGTGAGGCCGCCCCTCGAATGCTGTGCTCAGCGCTGGGCCCCTCACCCCAAGGCGGCCACGGAGGGGCTGGAGCGTGGCCAGAGCAGGGCAGCGAGGCTGGGGCAGGGGCTGGAGCCCAAGGCTGGGGAGGAGCGGCTGGGGGAGCTGGGGGGGCTCAGCCTGGAGAAGAGGAGGCTGAGGGGAGCCCTCATCGCTCTCTGCAACGGCCTGAAAGGAGGCTGGAGCCGGGGGGGTCGGTCTCTTCTCCCCAGGAACAAGCGATGGGGCATTTAAAAGAGATGTAGATGTGGTGCTCGAGGACATGGTTTAGTGGTGGCCTTGGCAGTGCTGGGTTACGGTTGGACTTGATGGTCTTAAGGGTCTTTTCCAACCTAAACGATTCTGTGATTCTATAAACCTTATGTCTACTTACATATGGAGGGGAGGGTGGAGCACTAAGTTCACCCTCATTCAAAGCAGTAACCTTTCCCCCCCTCAGACTGTTTGGATGTTTAGAAAATGAACAGCCAGTCCCAGCATCAGCAAAACAAACAGATAATACAGTGTTTCTGACACTGGGCCATTCATCATTTCTGGTCTGCTATCAGCGGTATCTGAAAACAGTCTCACTCTGAAACGGTAAGCAGCTACAAACCCCTTCGTCATGTTCTGAAGCAGTACAGAGAAAGAGAACAGATAGATGCCTCTAAAAGAGTTTAACAGTTACAACCCCTGGGAAAGGGGAGAGTTTTTCCAACTGGTATTCAGCTGAAAGTTCAGGCTTCTGTTGCCTGAGAAACAGTTTTAAGCAAAGATGAAAAGACAGTTTCAATTCTCTCGTTTGCTTTTTATAAGGAGAATAAAACCCTCACCATCTCCATCTCTCTCGCCTTCACTTTCCTGATCACCTTCATAACCGGAGCAGGAATCTAAACTCCAGTCTAGGAAGTTATCTAGCAGACTTTCTTCCTGGGTGGATAGCTCTGCTGTGGGCGTAGTCACAAAGCTGCCTCTGTCGTCCTGAATGCTGTCCTCCCTCCTCCTGCAGCAAGGAAATCCAGAAGTCACACATTAAAAGCCACGTCTTCTTTTCCGGCTCTTTTAATAGGTATGTCAAAGTAATTAGAGAAAAACTGATCATAGTTAAGGATGAAGCCTCAGGATGCCAGAGAGGAGGCAAGGCTCATGCTAATCTTCAGGGACATTTAGGGTGACGAGTTATACTAGCCTTTTAGGTCTCTTTCCAGAGGGAGAGCTAAGGAAAGTCTGAATTTCCACCACGTTCGTGTGCAAGGGACTGGGCTCCGGGTCCTCCTGTTTCACACCCAGCAACGAACAGAGCTGGCTGTAACTCATCATCTGAAAAAAAATCAAAGAGCCAGTAAGAATTAGACCATAAGATTCTCAGAAGGAGTAAATAGCCAGGAGGAGGCTATTCATCTTTATTTCCTAGGAGAAATCTATCCCAGTGAGTTCCTCCCACAGGTACTCAAACAGAGCAGTTACAGTCTCTGCAGATCAAGTTTAAACCTTCACTTTATTTAGAGATTCTCTCCTCCAAAAGTCTAAAGTTAGAACCCGCTTCCCATTATGTGAAGTTTACCACATCCTGCCATACGGTAGCTTTGGCGCCAGCCAGCAGCCACGAAGACAAAGAGCCAACCCACCTTTTCTTTGCCTATTTCTTCATAACGCTCATCTTCAAATCGTTGTTTCACTGCGGTTAAGGACACCTGCCTATAATCCTTTGGGACATCGTCATGGAAACTGGAAAGAAAGATTAAAGCCCCGATCTTAGAATGGATTATATGAATCTATGCTAATGAAACCTGCCAGGTGAAGTGCTTTCCCTCTGTCCGTCTCAGCTCTGTGCTAAGGAAGGTGGTGTGCCAGCAGAGCTGGCTAAGCAGCTACCCAGGACACTTGGGTTTCTAAGCATATGAGCATCTAATTCCTTTTCTGTTCCTCGAGGTAAATAAGGTATTTGCCTGGTACTCTTTAAAAAATGAGCTACTTTTGCTGGAACTCCTCCCAGAGCTCACCAATAAGCCAGTTGCAGTCTTCTGAAAGTAGTGCTGTTGAGGAGCATCACATTATCTGTAACCCAGGGCCACTACCAGTTGTGAGCAGCAGCATCACTGTCCCCGATCCGGCCCCCAGGCCTTACTGCCTGCTGCAGTTTCCCAAAGCCCCGTCCTTCCCTGGGAAGGGCTGCCTGTGGGTGCAGCATGTCTGCAAGAGCTGGAATCCAAGTACTCGTGTGCCCGCCCAGAAGAGTTCCAAAACTATTACCACTTTTGGTGGAGGCTTAGCACGCAGGGCAACAGGTCTTCAAGAGAGAAACCGGTGCACTCGGACAGCTGGCTGGTCCAGGGGTGTGCTGGAGAAGAGAACACGTATTACCATTCCACAAAGCTTGGTGGTTCGGTAATCACAGATTTTTTTTTTTTTTTTCTGGGATAAAGATCATGATCCCTACAAGCTTATGCCTGCAGACAGTTCCTTCAAGTCTACCGCTAGCTTCAAGGATAGGTTTACCTGCCAAACTGCAGTTCTACTTAAGTACAGAAATCTTCAGTCTCATTTAAACACAAAGCTTGCGCAGCCTGATGCCAATACTCTTGTTCATCACAGCTATTAAGCGGCAAAATAGACTGAACTCAGCCCTTCATGATGAAGCTTTATACCTGTCCCCCTCTTCCCCCCCAGGCGACTGGGACATCTTGCCTAAAGACAGAGTAACACACAAACCAAAGCTCCCTCCAAGGACAAGGCAGCCTGACGCATCCTGCTGCCGCCCGCTGAAGAGCCTGCTCCTCACCTTGCCTGTGTAGTATCTTGGCCAGCAGCAGCGCCGCAGCAGCCAGCCGAGCTGGGGAATACACACAAAGGCTCGTGTTTAAGAGGGACAGCTCACAAATGAAGCTGTAGAGGTGAAGGGTTCTTCTCTCCAGTGAGACGACATTTGACAATACTTCTTTGTAGTCCACAATGGTCGGTATCTAGTGCATAAAGCAGAACAGAGGTTGGCAATACAAGACAAGCACCACGTATCTAGAGCAGTTGTTTCTTTTGCTTTGCTGTTTTCTTTGCATTAGGGGTTTTTTTGTTTGTTTGTTGGTTTTAACAGCTACGCTGACATTGAAACATTCTCCAGTGAAAGAATAAATGGCCTCTTAAGCTTTAATCTCTGCAGAAAGGCAGAGGGGTTTGTATCTGCGTGCTCAGAAATCTGCATGGTCTCCACAGCTGACTGCGAACGCTCGCATAAAACCCCAACATCTCGGATAAGGAGAAGTGCTAATTACGATAGCCTGACTTCAGCAGCGGCCCAAGGGGTGAAATATTCCATCCACTTTCCAAACTCACCCTTATCTTTCCTTCTAGGGCAGAAATGATCTCACCCATCATTCTGACCAGGTCTTCGTATTTGTACGTGTTGTCTGTTAGCCACACAGCTTCCCGTATTGTCAAGATCTCTTTGCTGATGAAACTGCAATATTAAATATTATTAACAGTTAACCCCAGAAGAAAGGGAATTTCTGCACCCGTGCACTGCTGGTTTTGGGGCAGGCAAACACACCCAAGATGACCAAAGAGTTAAACGACTTTCTAAGGTACTTTCCCAGGTACAGACCAGGAAAGAACGAACAGCAGCTCTTCAGTTATTTCGCCTTTAAGCTGGAACCACCTACTAGAACGTTCCCAATTCCTCATTTATGAAACCTCTCCTAGGTTAAGACCTAAGATATTAAGGGAACTAACACAGAAGAATAATTCTCCACCACACCATGCTCTTCATCTGAGCGTCCCAGACTGAACCAGGCAACAGCCCTGCTGCAGTTGTTCCGTACAGGGTTGCCCAGGCTAACGTGCCATGAAAGACAAATTGCTGCTGCTGCATTTAGACCAATCCACCACTATGGAGTTTTTTTTATATTCAAAAACATGTTCGAGAAATAACATTTTGTGTCTCATTTGCAGGGATTGTGAGTGTTTGTCTGTGAACACAGCTCAAGCAGCAGTCAACGTAGAGGGAAGCCAAAGATTTTTTCTAGTATTACTATTAGCAAGGGGGGAAAAAAAAGCTTGAGCTGCAGAAATTAATTGGCATGATCACAATAACCCCCTCTGTTCACCAGAGCCCCTACCGTGTGCAAATGACCATGCAGGCTATTCCCAAAAGTTGTAGTCGAGCCCGAGGTACAGGTCTCAGCTTCAAATAGCGATCCACGCATCCCACCGTCATGTGAAGGCACAGGCTAGAAAAGTCTTTCATGGTAGCCACTTCTACCAGCCAGTCAATCAGGATGTACCTAGACAGGAAAGAGAGACAAGCTGCGCAGTTAGACGCCATCCAGCCTGTGCCGAGCGCCCTCCCCACCCCTAGTTCCTGAGTCCCTTCTCCACTCAAAAGTTCCAACCAAGAAATTCAACCACAAGAATTTTCAGAATAATGACACGTTGCACCGAGACAAGGATTTGCAACCAGAGGTCTGGCATCCTCTGAAGGGTCAACGGCCTTCTGAAGCTGTCTGTGAAATGGAATTAGAAGCTAACCTGTAATTAACAGGCACTTGCACACGGAAAGGGGTAGGGCATATCAGTTCGGAGGGTAAAGGCCACCTAAGATAAGTGGAGAGTCACTATGCCTCTGACAAGTCAAACAGCGCCTCTAGTTCTTGAGGGGCTTGTTAGTCTTGACAGATGCAGCACCTTACACTCCTCATTTCAGTTCTTCATCAGGGCTTGAAATCAGGGCTCCAATACTTCCTCTTTGCAAAAGGTCACGTGTTTCTCCGATTGTACATAGCGCATCACAGAAAAGTAAAAGATGCTGCCTTCCAACAGACCTCATCCTAGATTTGTTTCCCCTCTACAGATGTAGAGGGAAATAGGCCTCGGTTTCTGCCGTGTGCCCCGACTCCCAGATGTGAGCTGTTACCTCATTGTTTCATTCATTCCTTTCTGCACAGTGAAGATACTTTGCTTGCTGATAGGAAGGGAAGCTTGAAAGATTTGAGACACCATTTCACTGGAAGATTTTGCTTCTAATCCTAGTTGGTTTCCAGTCCCACAAGCTTTGGCTAAAGCTACCTGTAGTAGAGAGAACACGAAAGAAAGTTGTTTTGTTTGGGTTTGGTTTTTTTTGGCTTTTTTTTTTTATCAAACACAAATTAAAGCGGCGCAGGATGGTCCTGTAATTTTCCT